TGAATGAACTCATTTGTCTCGAATCGCGCTCACGGAAAGTGCTTGAGAAGCAGTGTCTCTTCCGCAGCTCTGTACGCTTTCAACACGTTTTTAAAGTCTCGAGCAAGACTGTACGACATTCACATTACATGATTTGACTGATTTTTACTTAGAAAGGGTGACAGCGCACCGCATTAAAATAAATTATCATTCATGCTTTCATAACCACTGGCCAAATTCAAAAACGAAACTAAAATTAAATCACCTTTGAGAGCAAGGGTGCCCCCTGGTGTTTCGGGGGCCCTATGCAGCTTGCGTATTTTGCGTATAGGGAGGATCAGCTCTGGTTGTATTTAACCCAGCATTTTTTAGAGTGCAAATGTTTTGAGCCAGCATTTGTGTTACTACAAATTGCTGGGTCAAAAGGAACCAATCGCTGGGTTTGTCCATATTTTACCCAACGCTGGGTTGTATTTAACCCGGCATTTTTTAGAGTGCAAATGTGCGTCTACTCAGCAACACATTTCTATCATATCATGTGATCGTGTGCCCAGCAGTGAGCCGTTATCCGTCGTATCAAATGAAAATTAGCATGAAGTGCTTTCAAACCTGCGCTCACTTGTCTTTCTCTGTGTTTGTCTGTAGTTTTCCTGTGCCCAGGGCTCTTACGCGGTGTTTATCAGAGCGAGCATCTGTTCGAGTCGGACCACCAGTCGGGAGCTTGGTGCAAAGACCCCCTCCAGGCCTCTGATAAGATCTATTACATGCCCTGGATGCCGTATCGCACGGACACCCTCACCGAATACTCCAGCAAAGAGGATTTCATCGCAGGACGACCCACCACGACCTACAAGCTCCCCCATCGGGTCGACGGCACCGGGTTCGTCGTCTACGACGGCGCTCTGTTCTTCAACAAGGAGCGAACTAGGAATATCGTCAAGTTTGATTTGCGCACTCGCATCAAGAGTGGCGAGGCTATCATCGCTAGCGCGAACTATCACGACACTTCGCCGTATCGCTGGGGAGGCAAGTCGGATATCGATTTGGCGGTGGACGAGAACGGTCTTTGGGTGATTTACGCCACGGAGCAAAACAACGGACGGATCGTGATCAGCCAGCTCAACCCGTATACGTTACGTGTGGAGGGAACTTGGGATACGGCCTACGACAAACGCTCCGCTTCCAACGCCTTCATGATCTGTGGGATCCTGTATGTCGTCAAGACCGTCTACGAAGACGACGATAGCGAAGCCACCGGGAATAAAATCGACTACATCTACAACACGGAGCTGAGCAAAGACGGCTATCTGAACATCCCCTTCCCGAACTCGTACCAGTACATCACTGCCGCGGATTACAATCCCAGAGACAATCTGCTCTATGTGTGGAATAACTACCACGTGGTCAAGTATTCGCTGGATTTTGGAGTCCTGGATAACAGGCAAGGTAAGAGCTGGAGCATTTATTTGCACAAGTTTTAAACTGTGATCTGTGAATCGCACAAAAAAACTTGTTTCAAAAGAAAAATAGTAAGAAAGATCCTATGAATTCAACATTGTTCAAGTTTTGTGCCGTTTAGCTCATGCCTGATCATCTGTTTGCTGGCGTACTCTTAGAAGTTGATACAATCATAGTTCACAGCTTTAACGTAAACGTAACAATACTTTAATTTTTAGATTACATTTTAATCAAGTAAAACAAAAAGTTAAACTAAATTATACATGGAGATATGTTTCAATGGCATGTTTTTCCCCTATTTTTATATTGTATTAAAAAGTATTTATTATTGTTTTTATTATTATTAGAAACAACAACAGTAATGCTCATAACAATACATTGTTATTAATTAATGATAATTAAAAATGTAACATTTAACTTTTGTGGGGGGGGGGGATCCTCTGGTGTATATAAAGCAATAAAACCCTTCCATTTATGTCATTCCTCAAAAGGAAATACATCAGTGCGAGAAACACAACACAACACTGCACTCATCAAGTGATTTCATGGGGTCTTAGGCCCTGTCCACACGAACGCGGTTATTTTTAAAACTGCAGCTTTTTCTACGCGGTTAGGCCATTTGTCCACACGCAAACACAGCACCAGTTCACTGAAACTGAACATTTTTGAAAACGTCCGCCAGTGTGAAGATTTTCAAAAACTCCAGTTGCAGTGTTATCGTGTAGACAGCGAAACCGGAGTTTTTGGCTTGTGACGTCGGCGCCTGCGCTGTTATCTCCGCCTACTGGAGACTTTTTCAGGCTTCTGATTGGCCAACATGGCTTTAGGGTTGAGATTATATCGCCACCTATTGGTTTGGCATGCTCTTGACAGTGCTTCATAGCTTGCGTTTGCGTTTTCATGTGGACGGAGATTTTTTAAAAAACTCCGTTTATAAAAATACCCATGTACGTGTGGACATGGCCTTAGAAGAAAATTAAGCCTATTTTTAGAATTATCGTTATTTTGAAAGAATACATGAAAGTTAAGCATATTTCACACCTAACTTCTCATTACTATGTGAATGTGAAAAAAAAAACATTATGTGAAATAATAATTTTAGAATGTAAAAATAATAATAATAAAATAAAAAAAAAGATTCAAAATAAATAAATAATAATAAATAAATAATAAATTAATTAATTAAATTGTCTTACAAATAACCTTTATTTCTGTTATGCAAAATATGATCTTGTATTTCTTACAATTTTAGTGTGAAATATGACATGTTTTAATGAGATTCACTGTGGCCTCCTTAAAACTACTAATAACATTTTGGTGAATGCGTGGGTGGAGCTGCTGGTGGGAATGTTGTGGTTGTGAAAATGGAAACTTTGCCTTTTGATTTAGTGAAATGAGTTGTTTGGTGTCTGCGGGCGGCACACAGATCGAATGATTTTCAGTGCTGTTTGCTTGAGTTAGTGGTCAGACCAGAAACTTTGGAATGCTCTCTTTAATTGGAAAAGCATTGAGTGAAGTTTGTGGAGGGGAAGTTCATGGCCGCTTACTGAAAGTCAGAATGTCATCGACAGGACCAGCACTAATTACAGAGCGAATGTTTCTCAAATGTGTGACATTCCTTTCGCTATTTAATTAAAAGCCTTTTGAAGAAAGAAAACTTTCATAAATATCTTCACTAACACTGTGGGAAAAACACTGTTTCTGCCGCACAGTAATATGCAGGAGTCGTATTGGGTTCATCACTAGGAGAAAATAATAATTTAAATAATTTGTAAATTTGTTTTTTAATTGCTTTCCACCATTTTTTCACGGTCACCCTCATTGCCAGCCAAAGTATCTTAATTGCCACCACATTGTTAGAAAAAAAAATAAAAATCTAGAGTTTTCTGCTGCAAAGCTGTTATTACTATTATATCATATACTATTCTAATTATTTTATTATATACAACTATATATTCAATATATTTTAAAATGTATTAAATTTTAAATAAAGAAAAATTTTGATATTTTCTTTTTAAATGTTTACATATTTTTTTTTACATTTCAATGCAAATATAAAACAAAAAATAAATGTTACAACAAATATAAATTATACATATTTTTTTTATTTCCTATTTATATCTTTTATACCTGTAAAAGTTATTTAAAAGATAATAAACCCTTCCATGTATATCGATTGAACTTAATTGATTTTGGCCGTGTGCAAAAAGTAAATATTGCATTTTATCCAACTATATTATATTAAAATGTATTACATTTTAAATATTAATGCAAAAATGTTAATTATTTTAAATCAAATTCACTGTTTTTTTTTTTTTACATTTCATTGCAAAAATAAATAAACTGCTAAAACAAAAATCTAATCTTTTGTAACTGTAAAATAGGGAGTTCAAAATCTAATTGTGAGAATAAGTAGTAGTGATATTTGATATTTGTCTTGGCCAGCAAGCTCTAACAAGAAGAGTATTCTCTTAATGAAAGCTTCGTTTTCATTGACAGACAAATCTGTTTTCACAGTCACAATTATGTCTCCCTGATGACAGCAGCGGTTTGGGTGGCATGCATTTCATTTAATTTTCCTGCTTGTACTTGATCTGTAAGATAACGTTTTGGGTACAGTTGAATGGAAGTGTTTTTGACAGAGAGGCCACTTCACATTTACACTCTCAGCCTGTCATGAGCCGTCAGCCAACTGCTGCTCTTCACCACTGCTTTCAGACAGAAATTGCAAATGCTACTTGTTTTTTTTTTTTATATTAGGCAGCATATAGTTTATAGCCTATTGGCCAGTGTTCAGCATCCAAATACGCTAGTATTATAATCTAAACGCATTAGTGTTGCCATTAGTGTGAACTGTCATCTTCTACGGTCAGTTTTCTGTGGAGCAATAGTTTGAAGTGAATATCGCTGAGCAAGTTAGTTACACTGTTTACAACATTCTACCTGAGTAATAGTACATCCAGTTTAATGCCGCAGACATGCTTGCAATGCATTTTTACCCTTGCATAGAGGATGTTTCTGTTGTGTGTAGCATTGTATAATGGTATGTATAATATGAGGTGAAGTTGCTCTTATTAAGTGATAGTGTGATTTGAGACACTGCATGCAGAGAGTCAGGAAATTACCCACTCAGAGCTTTCTTAAATCATACATGCAGAGAGAGCAGTGTGTGTGTGTGTGTGTGTGTGTGAGCGCTTGTTTCTCCTGGAATTAATCTTCATCTGAAGGTAACTCTTTGATGTGGTTCTGTTCATCACATTCTTTTGCTGTTTCAAGACCTAGTGAGCATACATACAGTATGCATAAACACTCCCCAAATGCAAAGCTGCTTAATGAGATGAAAGGATTTTTAAGATTTTATAAGGTTTAGCCTTGGTGACATAATTAAACAAAAGGACACAGCCAACAGTGTTGTTTTTCCGAATATCAGCAAGGCTATAAGTACCTGTGACTGCATCACAGACATGCTGATATTCAGAACAACAACACACTTGCTAGTGTGATATTGCTGTACAATAACAATAAGTTAAAACAGAGTAACTTACATTTTAGACAAAGTGTTGCAGTGAAAATAGTTCCTAACAAAGGTCCCAGGTTTCATTCCTGTGGTTCATTCCTGAATAAATAAGTATTTTAATGGAACTGGTTGAGTAAACGATTCAATGACTCACTCTCATAAATCATTCCTCTTACTTAAATAGGAAAACATGATCTCTGATGATCTTGTTTAAATGCAGAGTAATCAATCTACCGTTTTCACAGAAGTTTAATAATGTAAATAATGACAGTTTTCTGTTGACACCTACTGGCATATCAGCGCAACTACAGAAAGAGTCACTGGAAAATTCTGGGGCAAACAGAGTGACACAAACAGTAAAAAGTCCCAGTGCATCCAAAAGCAGCCAAAAAGGGGGCGTGAGCCACTTCAGAGTCATAAAATTGCAAATGAGACACCCTACAGTCTAGTGTTTTTCAACTCCAGTCCCCGGGACCCACATTCCAGAATGTTTTAGATGTAAGTTGAATCTGGTGAGTGTTTTAATTAGTGAGACATCTAAAACATTCTGGTAGTGCCCAAGACTGGAGCAGAGAAACAGTCAGCAATGCCCATCACAAGACCACAAGTATGACATTTAGCACAGGGCCTATAGGCCTATAGGCCCTGTGCTAAATGTCATACTTGTGGTCTTGTGATGGGCATTGCTGACTGTTTCTCTGCTCCAGTCTTGACTTTTTCAGGCTTCTGATTGGCCAACATGGCTTTACGGTTGAGATTATATCGCCACCTATTGGTTTGGCATGCTCTTGACAGTGCTTCATAGCTTGCGTTTGCGTTTTCATGTGGACGGAGATTTTTTAAAAAACTCCGTTTATAAAAATACCCATGTACGTGTGGACATGGCCTTAGAAGAAAATTAAGCCTATTTTTAGAATTATCGTTATTTTGAAAGAATACATGAAAGTTAAGCATATTTCACACCTAACTTCTCATTACTATGTGAATGTGAAAAAAAAAACATTATGTGAAATAATAATTTTAAATACATAACATGAAATTTTTACTTTTTTTATTTATTTATTTTTGCCACTTCATTAATTTTTGTTGATTTCTAAATAAATCCATCCTTTAGTTTTACTGTATTTAAATAAAAATGTGACTATTATAGAAAAAAACAACAACAACAATAAGTATCACCATGATTACAAATGAAAAAAACAATAAAATACATATTTTAGTGGAAATGTATATACAATATATAATATATATATATATATATATTTTTTTTTTTTTTTTTATTTATTTTTTTTTAAATTTATTTATTTTTATTTTTTTATGCAATAATGAAAGCTACTGGCAAAAAAAAAATCAAATGAGAGACATTACTGAGAAAAAAATGGATACATTTTGGTAATGATAATTTGTGATGTTTTAAAAATTCTGTCGCAATGCAAAAGATCATAATGATCCTGAAATAGGCTTCTGTTGA